CTTTCATTTGCATTCCCTCTTAGAATCACCTTTATGTTTTAGATTGGGTCCATAATGTTGATACACAAAAACAACAACTTGATGTTGATCACAATAGAGAACTTACTCAAGTTATTCATTTCACAACCCCAAACAGTACTTTCTTGCAAACATAGGTTCCATGTGTGCTATTTTGTATCAGTATGGTGGGGAAATATATGTGCTACTATTTCTGATGGCTCAAAAAACCGCTTATGTCGGAGCAAATTTAGCAACTGAAGCTGTATTTAGTAACTAATACATGCATGTCATGACTTTGTTCTTATACGTCATGAAAGCCCTTGCTCCGCCAAATCATTCATCGAGATCCGTAAAAATGGTGTACGTTAAGACAGACACGTACAGGCAGAAGTTATAAAGCTTTCGTCAACCCTGTAGGGAGAAAATTTATGCGTAATTTTATTTCTAGATATAAAAAACGATGAAGGCGTCTCTCTGCAGCAGAAGCATATGTTGCTGGGTTCCAATTCGAACCCGTAACCCCCATGGGTGAAAAAGACACTATTGACATATATGTATATACAATACGTCCAGAACCTGACACCATGAAACAACCAATTCTTTACTCATAACAAAACAACCAGTTATATAACTACATGTATCTTGTTAGTTGCTAGCAATCACACAGCTTATGCTATTGATAGCAACCTTCAATCTGGTAAGGCAATCCATGTGTATTGTGCTTGTGCTTCAGTGCATGACACGTAGACTTGCTGACAACATGGAAACAGGTTGGATCTACCTGCTGCGAGATCTAGAGCTTTCTAGATGAATGGGGTTTGGTCTATACATGGGAGAACAGTATCACATAACTCGTAGTCAACGTATCACTAGTGCACTACAGCCACTACGCGCGATTACTGCGTCTAAGGTTGAAGCTGTGACTGCGACTAAACGTGCGTGTGACACAGCTGACACTCATTCAGGTAATAGCTCTACACAGATTGAAGGTGGCGATTGCATGGACGATGACTTTGAGACGTTCGCTGAACGCTCACGGCTCATGAAATATGAGATAAATCGGAGGGACAGTTTCAAAACCTGGCCGTCGTGGTGTTGTCAAAGGCCAGAGTGTTTGGCTAAAGCTGGGTTCTACTACACGGAGACCAGTGACAGAGTGCAGTGTCCATTTTGTTTCGGTGTCCTCAAGAAATGGGAGAGTTGGGATGAACCAGTGTCTGAACACAGACGACATTTCCCCTATTGTAAATTCATCCGAGGAGAGGATGCTGGCATTGTGCCCATAGAAGACAATACAGAACTATTCGAGGACCTACATGTACCACTGCCAGAGTGGAAGCCTCGGCTGAGTGGGTCAGATCGCTGACTTTGTGTGCTGGCCATGGGCGGATACAGCTTTTTTTAAAAGGACCCCCACTCTGTATCCGTCCATGCTGGCGATTAGGTGCCTCATTCTGTCAGTGTGGGTTCAAATCCCATCATGAACTTGACGATTTAAAGTCACACGTTTTCCCGAAGGTCGCTGCACATTTGCTTCCAGTCGTTTACAGTCAGTGTTAAAAATCACGGCACTCAAAACAATGGTGATGTACGAAATTCTGGGCGATTCTCATAAATAAATAAGTTTTTATTCTTCTAAGATATGATTCAATACAAACGAAATTATTTTATCACACATTCAACAGTTGGGGTTGGGGGTTGATGGATGCCATCCCACCCCGTGGTTTATACGCCTATGACATGATAAGCTAATCTGCTTCAATTTACAAACAGTAAGTAATTAAACACTGTCTCATTCATTCAATAAAAACACAGATCAGACAACAAAGAAACGGAGGAAATGGTTTACAAGTAAATGTTTTACATATGAATCTACCTGCCAATATACAATTTCAAATTTTCCCGATTCAGACACAAAGTCTAACAGTACCCGCAGAATAATAAAAAAAACAGGTCAGTGCCCAAATGTCTAATCTATTCTAATGTTGTTATGGTCTGAGCATTCAATGAGATAATATTTCACAGCCTCGGGAGTATTTTCTTTGCAGTGTATATATGCAGGGGGGACCTGTTTATCAATAATACCCCCAAGTGACAAACAGTGTCGGTGTGTTGTCTGTCAGCTGTCCCACTTTGTGTACACATACATTGGACAAAACATACATATATTAGCTTCCTATGAATTATTTGTAGTAGGTATTTGTAGTTGTACAATTTCATATGTTCCCGATTCAGACACAAAGCCTAATAGTGCGCTCTGCATTAATCCTCCAAATACGTCAGTGCTCCAAAGTCTGGTCAATATATATTCCATCGAACCCGTGAAGATCCGGGGTAGAATAGGTCTTCAGCAACCCATGCTTGCCGTAAAAGGCGACTATGCTTGTCATAAGAGGCAACTTAAGGGATCGGGTGGTCAGGCTGACTTGGTTGAAGCATGTCATCGATCCAAATTGCGTGGATCGATGCTCATGATATTAATCACTGGATTGTCTGGTCAAGACTCGATTATTTACAGACCGCCGTCATATAGCTGGAATATTGCTGAGTGCAGCGTTAAAAAACAAACCAACTTAATCTATTCTATCGTTATTGTGGACTGAGTATTCATTTTGATACTATTTCTGTCTCCAGAGAACATTCCTTGCAGTTGATACATGTATGGGATACCTCTTTATCAATAATATCTACATATGAACATAGTAAACAGTGTCCAAGACGATGTATGTCTGTCAGCTGTCTCACTTTGTTGACACGTTCATTGGACAGACCATGCATATACTGGTTTCCTATGAATTATTTGTAGGGATTTTCTATGCAATTTTGTTTGTAAAACAAATGCTCACACATTCACAACTTTACATCTATGGTCCAATCACAGCAAAGATTATAAATTCAAAGTAAATGCACACTGGTTTCTTCGTAGGACTGAACTTCACGCAAGAAATTAAATATTATAATTCCATATTTTTTCATGTTTGTAACACTCAGTTTATTATGTTATTGTTGGTAGATTGATTAGGCCTTACAACATGGCGGCCACATGCCTTTTGATTGGATCATATTCCCACAACAATACTGATGACGCATTACGGGATCACACATTGACTTATGACCTACGACCTATGACATGACATGAATACTATCGTAAACACTACAGTGATGTGAGGTGAAGTGGTGTTTCACGTCGAGTCAAGATTACGAGATTATTTCACTTACATAGTGATGTGCATGTAAAAACATGTGCGTGGCTGCTTGTACAAGTTAGGACTCACACAAATTTTATTGTACTTGCCCGCTGAGATACCATACCATGGTGATTATTTATTTAGTTCCTGAAAATATTTTTGTCTGATGAAAGCCGTCTGGCACCTCCTTTTAAAGAAAAAATGTTTTGAAGCAGTGTAATACCTCCATTCTTACCTCACTGTCTCAACACGAATGACGTGCTATAACAAATTCAAGGGACATAACTCTTCAACGACTCCGCTCGAATTTCCCATGGTTCCACTCCGCCCTTAATAAGGATTGTTACATGTTTGAAACAAACGTAGTAGACTGAAATGTATGATAGCTTACAGTTTATCACAGTCACAGAAAATTAAGGAAATGAAACTTTTACAGATCATATTCCCCATTTCTGAAAGACATTCCCTGACCTATGTGCAGGGCCAGGATAGGCTTGTACGTTATGAGAACAATACTTACGTCACGCACTTGTCCTAAGTAATGTTAAGGGAGCAATGGCGTAACAAGGTCACAGACTGGCCATATGGGATCGAACATGAGACATAAGTCTTATTTATGCGGAGTCTTTATTACATGAACACTGGAAGGCGTCGACCAATACTGTGACCGGTAGTCCCGGGTCTGGGGGTCCGTAGTCCCGTGTGTCGACTGCCACCCCGGCCGTGTCTCCTCTCCCTTACCAGTACAGTTATTTAGTATTATACATGATATATGTATTTACAGAAGTACGTACTACCTTTTTTTAAGATATTATAAGCAATGAATATTATACCATTACATTTGAGTGGACATGAATAAATTGACTTAAAAAGACTGACATTAATGCTTATCTATTGGTATGAAGCTTAGATTTAACATGCGTCAGTCAGTAATCCCTAATTACAAATGACGGACACCGTCAACGACGGACAGGTGACTCTTAATTACCTAATAGAACTGTTACTGCGTGACGTCAGTGCGCCAACTGTGCAAGACAATAAGGTTTAACTTTAATCATTTACCTTCTAACTATATATTTCTTTAAGCTTATCAATTCTGTCAATCTGTATGTACATTTTGTAAACGTATACACGTATAAGTAAGTGCATGATAAGATGCCAGTAGTGACAGAGACGAGTTCTCATAACTTTAAACCTGTAATGTATGTGTTGGCATATAAGGGAACTCGCCACATTCAGTATGTATCTCATGATTGGAGGTTTAACAATAATACTTAAATATGACATAATCCATACACAGGGAATCTCTGTTAAAGCAGAGTCCATTTTGCGTTTGTGCTTTACTTAAGTAATCTAAAAACCCGCGCATAATTAATGCTTAAGCTAAATTTATATTTCTTGCTCTTGAAAAGCGTAATAACTTTCTCACTGGCGCTGAAATTGTCAAATTCTGATATCATGTATTGTAACATAAAAGTAGGTATGTTCCCTGATTTGATTGGTTAAAAAGTGTTGTCGAATGAGCATAACATCGCTGAATTTTTGGGGTCTCATCACCGTGTATGTATACATTAATTAATGGAACTATTTTTGAAATCATCAACATGGAGGAACAGATGGAAATTTACCCTGACTTCCACATCGGAGATTTCGATGAAATATTGAGTGAATGGGGCGACGAGACATTTTCTGAGATAATTCAAGAATTTGAAGGTAAATGAAATTTACCTTTTTCCATTACTTACAAAATCATAATCATAATTAATGTAATTTTCTTGGGCTTGGCCAAAGGAAAAAACAAAACAAAATCAATTTTTAACAGAGTAAAAAACATTTATTGCAACTCTATAATAGTTATGACTTTCATACACCCACCTAATTTTGTTCTTATTATAACCCACAACAGCTGTTGAAGCTGGAAACCGTTCTGAGATGGCCCCTGAACTAGGAAATACAGCAAGCGTTTCCGTAGAGCCCAAAGTTCAAGCGTCCAGTCACCGCTTCGCGTCCCTTGATGAAAAAGCAGTACAGGACATCGTGGATGGGAACCTCTCCAAATCTACTGGGAGTTAAAATATTTCGACTTAAGCCATTGAAACATAAAAGAATACATAAACACATACCAAAATTTCCTACGCAGATTCGATCAACATCAGCGAGAGTTACCTCCCTTACACCATTGCCATAATAGCAATGTAAAGCGTGACCAATGTGTCATCGCAAAAATTGGCAATAATATAACGAGATTGACCAAAATCTTAACATAAATTAAATATTTCGTTTTGTAAGATTTGAGATATGTTATACTAAATGGATATACGGAAATTTCATTTAAACACGACACCGTAATAACAACGAATTACTCCCACTTACCGTCACATTTGTACCCTGAACAAGGCAATCTTTTCACTTCCAGAATGGCTTGGTTTCCGAGGTTTTGAACCCACGTTCGAAGAGCTTCCTGCTTTTCAACTGAATGAGAGACTGAGGTTCTTTTATGCCGAAGTCAGAAATGCTGAGGGAGACCTTTACTCAAAATCGAGTTTTGTTGGGTTGCGTGCTGCCATACACAGGCACATCAGGGGACCGCCATTTGAGCGCAGCATAAACATTATCCAAGACCGGGAATTTCACACTGCAAACTGCCGTCACTTTGCTGTCAAACGCAGGTATTGAAAATCGCGAGATTTGCAGAATAACCGGCCACAAAACCGATGAATCGTTGAAGTCGTATTCCATTGACTCGAGCTCGTCTCAAAAACGACATTATTCGAACATTTTTCAGGGACAGCAGCAGCTCGCTAACGAACGTAATTTGGTACCTGTCAAAGATACAAATATCCTGCCACTGTCCACTGCTCCCGTGAATAATTTCCAGGTTAATTCTTCTGCTACTTTCCACGGTATCTCTCACATATGTTAATTCACTGTAACAGTAAACAACTTTTTCTATCCCAGCTAAGCTGCATGTCTGAAATTTCGCACATGTTCGACGTCTCTTGTCACCACCTCAGTTTCAGGCGAGTTGACACTATCTTGTACAGGGGCAAAACAGTATATACATCTTTTCTAATTTTGATTATTTGTATTTCATAGATACGCATAATTACAAATTACAAGTAAGATGGGGAACTGTGATAAAGAATTGAATTTGTGATATTTCCTGTTGTTTGTTTATTTTCTGAGAAATGGGCTTGAACATGTGACCACCCCTTTCGTAAAATGGACCCTCATTATTGGAGTACCTCGAAACCATTGATCGGTTTCGCGGCACCCCATATCATGCATCTTTTCGAAGGTGAGCACGAGGAGACGTATTACTAACGACAGTTTTGTTGTGTCATGCGCTCAGTAAATTAGTTCCTCCTAAATATCGATTTTAATTAACGTTCATGTTACTTAGGAGATAAATATTTCGTTTTGTAAGATTTGCGTGATGTTACGGCGTCGTGTTCAAATGAAATTTCCGTACATCCATTCAGCATAACATCACGCAAATCTTACAAAACGAAATATTTATCTCCTACTTGTGTAATGGGCCGGTGGCCCCTTTACTGAAATAAAGCTCTCTCTCGTTCTCATTATTTCAGTAATATCATGGCGCGTCTGCTTCATTTGGGGAGAAAGACGAACGTGCTGCAGGTCTTAGATGTTTACCACTTTGGTGGAACCCACGGAAGTAATTGTGCTGACAAACGTAGAAACATGACCAGGCCTAACCGGGATTCGAACCCACGATAACACTGCATGAAGATAACACAATATCTAATCATTGCTTTAAGATATCTAGAAATAAAATTATATATAAATTTTCTCCCTGCAGCGTTGAAGAAGGCCGTGCTTTATAACAGACATGCATGTTTTATGACAGTTACCAAATGTTTTCGCCGTAAGCGGTTATTTGAGCCATGAGAAATAGAATCACCTTCACTGCCCCACCATACTGAATAGCAAGAGCACATTTGGAACGTATCTATTAGGGCTGCAACGATACACCTAGGTCACGATACGATACGTATCTCGATACTTACATCACGATTCGATACGTATCTCGATACGCTACGATACACAGAGTGACGAGAAGAAAAGAGATAAATGAATTAAACTTAGTTTATTAAAATGAAAAATTGAATGAAAGTGAATGAATGTTCATGAGTCATAAAATATATACTGTAATGAGTATTTTAACTGAATGAATCATCTGCCATTTCCATGTTATGGCCAGCAAACACAACGTAACAGTTCTACATATTTGTGAGTTGTGACTAGATAGTAGATTCTATGAGTAAATACTAAATGTACCAGTGTCCAGTAACTAATGATCTGCCATTTTCATGTATAAAGGCAAAAAAAACAATTAAAAACAATTGTAGCAACAGCCATGTTACATACTATTTGAAAGGTCTAATCTTGGTGTTTATAAATATGAAAGTTATGTTTATAACATTATTTAAATAATGCATTGACAACTTAATTAAGTTCGTTGTAAATATACAAAATGTAAGCTAACACATTCATAACGTCCAGATTAAGGACCAAGGAAGCGAAAATTTGACGATTTGGGGCAAATATAAGATTTCAAAAGATCTAGATCTACTTATTTCTTTTTTATTTTCATTTACGTAATTGGAAAATTATGTTAAAAAGAATTATGAATAGTATCTGATTTCACCCATTTTCAGATAACAGCGGCTGTCCGCTAAGTAACATGAAGAAATACCTCCGTTTTCGAAAGCTTCGTATGAATAACACGTTCGTCGAAGACTGACATATGACACATCGCTAGATAGCTTGTTGTTTCATCTACACGCTCGTAACATTGCCTGGAGTCTTTTCGTAGGTATAACATAAAGTTTCATTGGATAAAAAATGGTTCCTAATGACGCTTTCTTGCCGAAATCTGCTACAAGGTTCATGATTGGTCAAATTTGAGCACGTGACCTGAGGCAGGCAATCAAATTACAAATCCTCGTGGACGATGAATTTCAGATTTTTACGAAATATTTTGGTTAAATCGTGTTATTCTGAACGTTTTAAGCAGGAAATCGCGATCTATATTAAAAATATGGAGCTTCGTGGACGTATCATACTAGGTTACAAGCTGTGACAAAGATTTTTCATGCAAATATTTTGGCATTGAATATCGTGTCTGAGCCGAGAATTCGAGGCGCCGAAAGCCGAGATGTCATTTGACTAACATTACACGCGATCGCACGAAAAAATGGAAATAATAACTTAGCTGTAAGTTGGACCACTTTTAGATATATTTTTGTTGATTTTATTTATCACTTTGTATAATATATATAAAGATTTGCTTGAAACGTCTTTGTTTTGCTCTTTGACATATTCGATGTGCACCCGTTGTCGAAGTGTGCGTCCGAGAATTATACTTTCAATAACAATGCGGGAAATAGTGAATAACTTTTTAATCTATCGATAAAAAATGATAAATTGAAATAGAATTCGTATTTCAGACATTGTAAGATGTGATAGATTTAATAAATGAATGGTATGACAGGTAGGTCCAGAAAAATATATACTATTTTGACGTGACTAAGGCTTGGCCGGTGCCTGAAAGAGTTTAAACACATTTAAAACGTATCTGTGATAAAAGTTTATGTACAAAAACAAAGACGTACGTATATACGTCTTTGAAAAAAACGTATCGTGAAAAATCGAGATACAGCACCTCACAAATCGCACACCGTATCGTATGGAGTGAATCGCGATGCATCGGTGTCCCGGGATATCGTTTCAGCCCTAGTATCTATGCAAAAACAGTAAACTATTTCAGGTTGTTAAATGAATTACATGACAATGTTCTCTATTGTGATCAACATCAAGTTTTTGTTGCGTATAATAAATTATCAACATAATAGAACCCATCCCTAAAGATATGGGGGAATCTCAAAGGGAAGATATGGGTGAATCTCAAAGGGAAGATATGTGTGTCTCAAAGAGAAGATATGCGTGAATCTCAAAGGGAAGATATGGGTGAATCTCGAAGGGAAGAAATGGGTGAATCTCAAAGGGAAGATATGGGTGAATCTCAAAGGGAAGAAATGGGTGATCTCGAAGGGAAGATATGTGTGTCTCAAAGGGAAGATATGTGTGTCTCATAGGGAAGATATGTGTTTCTCAAAGGGAAGATATGGGTGAATCTCAAAGGGAAGATATGGGTGAATCTCGAAGGGAAGATATGGGTCAATCTCGAAGGGGAGATATGGGTGAATCTCGAAGGGAAGATATGGGTGAATCTCGAAGGGAAGATATGGTTGAATCTCGAAGGGAAGATATGGGTGTCTCAAAGGGAAGATATGGGTGAATCTCGAAGGGAAGATATGGGTGAATCTCGAAGGGGAGATATGGGTGAATCTCGAAGGGAAGATATGGGTGAATCTCGAAGGGAAGATATGGGTGAATCTCGAAGGGAAGATATGGGTGAATCTCGAAGGGGAGATATGGGTGAATCTCGAAGGGAAGATATGGGTGAATCTCGAAGGGAAGATATGGGTGAATCTCGAAGGGAAGATATGGGTGGATCTCAAAGGGAAGATATGGGTGAATCTCGAAGGGAAGAAATTGGTGAATCTCGAAGGGAAGATATGGGTCAATCTCGAAGGGAAGAAATGGGTGAATCTCGAAGGGAAGATATGGGTCAAATCTCGAAGGGAAGAAATTGGTGAATCTCGAAGGGAAGAAATGGGTGAATCTCGAAGGGAAGATATGGGTGAATCTCGAAGGGAAGATATGGATGAATCTCGAAGGGAAGATATGGGTGAATCTCGAAGGGAAGATATGGGTGAATCTCGAAGGGAAGAAATGGATGAATCTCGAAGGGAAGATATGGGTGAATCTCGAAGGGAATGTTCGCTTTATGTATTAGAACTTGGGTATTGTTGGAGAAAACATCTTTCAAAAGGCACTAACCACACAAACTTGTCACATTCAGCTGATATCTTTCAGTTAACTGACAGGAACATTGCTTTGACAGGTATCACATCAGTTGCAACTATCAACTATCAACTATCAACTATCTACTATCTACTACCCACGAAAGCAGTGCTCTGCCTATATAATTCTGCTTCCCAATATGCAGGTTAACTTTGGGAGCTTTGAATCTGACAGTGTAACCTGTCAAAAATGAATAAAATATATCTCGTTAACAATATCTTTATTAAGTAAAATAAAACAGCATTGTAAACACATATGTAAACAAAAAATAATAACAGCTATCAAACATGAAATCTTCATTTCGAACGTAAATGCATTTAAATTCCATTTCTGATGTACATCTGCTTGAAACTTTCATGTACTTTCATGAACCATCGCTCTCCGTTTTTCCCTGCTTCAAACATCCACGCTCATTCTATATGATTTGTGTATGTTATTTGTATATCTCACATACAGTATCACGGCCAATCCAGTATTGTAAGTCCCCACGGTCCCCAGTAAGGTGGCCTAACTTTGATTGTTGGTGATCTATAGCCCATTTTTATATTGTATTGTTGATTGAAAATGTATTCTTTTTAATGTTCTCAACTAGTTTTAAAATCAAAACTGTGATACTCTAGTTATTTTTACTGTCCTTCGATGACAGGTATTTATTCCATTCAAATATATGTATTAAATGACAGTTCTCGTCACGATATGGCTGAAATACTGCCGATGTGACGTTAAATATTAACTCACTCACTCACTCACGTCCAACCCCTTCTATGTATCTCATATACACTCTATCTGTCCCTTCACTTTCTCATGGACCCTTACTGACCCCCTTTACTCCAGATTCATTTCCATGAGGGTGTCTGTATAGGTTTTACTTTAACCGTGTAACTTTGACACAAAGACATTCTCCACAATCCTAGAAGTAAGTCCGTACACAACCTGTAATGGGAGTCCGACAGATGGGGCAACTGGACACGGCCATCGAGCAGGGTCCACAGCACGCCAGATGACCACAGGGCATGAAGGTCACCCTCACAGGGGTCTCCATGCAGATTTTACACAGGTACCGGTCCTTCATTCGGGAGTTCTCGTCCCTGATATTTTCCAAAAATGCAGGATTGCTTGTTGCTGAGTGTTGAACAAACGTTTTTCTGGAGCCTGGGTCAGATGCCCCTGCTCCACTGCCATATGTCCTTTCAGTGGAAGAAGAAGTTGGGTAAATAGTGTTTGTTGTCTCAAGAGAACTTTCCATGTCAAGAACATCACTTGCCAACTCTTGTGCCGAGAAACAATGTCCTTTGCCTGATTTACTGTACCTCTTCAAAACCTCTTGAACAAGTTCTTGGGAAAACCCCATCTGGAGAACAGCTTGAGCTGCCTCACTGCGCATGAGTTTTGCCATGTTATCTTCAGGTTCTTTTCCAGATTCTGCATTGTTTTTCTCCCTGAATGAGCAGATAATAAGAAACTATAGTCAATATTTGTGGATTGTGCCACAGATGACTGAGAATGATTATTCCTTGGCGTTGATGTTGTATATTTCCTATTTAAAATGCAGCATTGAACCGAAACCAATCCTGATGTTTTCGACAAAAATATACCATACTTATTTCCAGACAAACTATTTTGTACTTGTCTACATTGTTGATTAGCCTTGTTCACAGGTAACACTATGGCGACTGTACACTTACCCAGTATAACAGATAGTTATTTCCAGATTTGCCCTTACCGTGAGTTTCACATGTTTCTGTTTCTGAATTGATGATCAGCTTTTAGATCAGTAAACAACATGGCTTTGAGACACTTGCAAAACTGAATGCATATTCAGCGTACTCAAAACAGAATGCATATTCAGCGTACTCAAATACGAAACTGTGTTTTGGAAAAAATGTCATATTGAAACTGATGATTAAGAATGAAACAGTGACATGAGTGAGTGAGTGATTTCGGTTCAACGCCGTTTTAACCAGTTTTTCAATTGTATCAGGGCGTGTCAGCTTCGTGGGAGGATAGCAGGTCTCAAACTTTTACTACTTTACTGAAACCCACGAGCACAGGTATGGCGCTGACAAACATAATCAGGGCGAACCGAAATTAAGGTTCTGGCGTGCGGGGTGCGGCGGGGTACCCTGGTGGTTAAAGACTTCATTTGTCAAGCCGAAGACCCGGGTTTGATTCCCCTAATGGCTACAATGTTTAAAACTCATGTCTCGTGCCCCCCTCTGTGATATTGCTGGAATATTGCTAAAGGCGGCGTAAAACCATGCTCACTCATTCTGGTGTGCACAAGGAACGCAGCGAATTGCTACGCCTCAGACGACCACCCGTGCCCCCTACAGCGATTATGAAATATTATAACTATATTACTCACTCGACAGCTCCATGCTCTCGGTGCATAGTCTCGGTGACATCTTGTCCCACACACAGCTTTATATAGGGACAGGAAGGGAAGCACTTAGCGTGCTCCATCCAGGGGTCGTCTTCAGGGTTCCAGTTGTACACTTTCCCCTGGCAAAACGCACATTTCACTCGGTCTGGTTTCTCCTCACACGGAATGTGGTAGAACCCTGCTCTAGCCAGAACGTCAGGAGTCTGATTCAAATTTGGCGGCCATCTGGAAAATGATGCCAACCGATTTGCTTCCTTTTTAAAGTCAACCGTACTTGGGGCTTCACTTCTGGCACTTGCAGGCATCGTCCCATGCTGCAATAGTTCTGTATTGTCTTCTATTGGCACATTCCCAGCATCCTCTCCTCGGATGAATTTACAATAGGGGAAATGACGTCTGTGTTCAGACACTGGTTCATCCCAACTCTCCCATTTCTTGAGGACACCGAAACAAAATGGACACTGCACTCTGTCACTGGTCTCTGTGTAGTAGAACCCAGCTTTAGCCAAACACTCTGGCCTTTGACAACACCACGACGGCCAGGTTTTGAAACTGTCCCTCCGATTTCTCTCATATTTCATGAGCCGTGAGCGTTCAGCGACCGCCTCAAAGTCATCGTCCAAACAGTCAGTGCGATCCAGCTGCGAAGACAATCTGTGCACCCTGTGTGCAGGGCTACTATGCTGTATCAAGTTAGCTAACGCCATAATAATCTTCAAGGGATAACTTTGACATTCAAAATATCAACTGTTTGTCTGCGTCCTGTTTTGTATATATACACCATTCATCTCCTCCAGATTATTCTGGACGTGGCTGGATTGGTTACGTGATGTAAACAAGCATGCTATTGGTTAATACTTGTGTTGCATTGGCTGTTGTCTTGGTAGTTTGGAATTCGGTATTTGACATGTGTTATATTCGAATTACTTGCATTGAAACATTTATCAACATGTAATGTTTTAAATAGGGTTATAAAATGGAATAATTGTATAGGCTTGCTATGAGCTAAACTGCACGGAGCACACTGCCCTTGACCTTGCGGATGTCAAGTGACCTATTTACTACTCACGGACACAATTCCCGACGCAAGTAAACAGGAAAATAGACATGGATACATGTTAGGGATACAGGTGACACAATACAAAGCAAGTGGAGTGTAGATGATGGTATTATATGTGGCTAGCTATAATACTTGTATAATATCAGTAAGTAGTTGTTACACTGAATGACACGAGAGCACTAATGCTCATACATTGTCCTGTTATTATGACCTTTGCATGGAACATGGATTTTGGTGCAGTAAATAGTAATGATGATGATGATGATAATGATTGTTGTCGTCGTCGTCGTCATCATCAACATCATCATTATCATCATCAATACTATTTACTGCACCAAAATCCATGTTCCATCATTATTTTTATTTTTATTTTTATTATTTTTTTATTATCATTATTATTATTATTATTATTATTATTATTATTATAAACTATAGACTATAAACTATTTTACCCAAGGCATCATGCTTTTGTCACCAAGACCTGCACCCAAATCAGCCCTGCAACTTATTTGTAAAGTCATGTGTCAAGAAATAGTAGTATTAGAGTGATGTATTATCGCTTTTGTCAATAATGTGCATTTACTGGGGGGGATATTCAATGAACCCCGTTAATCCGGACGATATCGTCTGCATTAACAAATGCCCGGATTAACGAGTTATGGGCACCGAGTACTTTCACTTTGTTTATATGTATATGAAATAGACAAAACCATTTCAACAATAGTGGTGTCCGGAATAAATGGTGTCCGGATTAATGAGGATTTACTGTAAATACAATTCACACAGCAGAACCCATTCAACATCACTGGGTTATCAAGTGTACATGCTGACAAAGATCACATACGAAACAGACAGCTACAAGGCGTTCATCACGTGTGGACAGAAATTCCCCATCTGATGTACGTGACGCCTTACCACAACAACTTGTTGATTAGTTCTACTGCGATATTTTCTTCACGTAAAGACAGAAATTCCCCTTCACACAAATTCCTCTGCACGCGTGAATATGTGAACGTACACTCCTGACGACGTATATTCATAAGTATCAAATTGTCGCTGTAAGAAAACCTCACAACAGCATTTGAGCTCATCTTACATGACTTGACCTAACACCAGGTTTGTGTAAAACGTTCCACTCTGCATGTATATATTATCCCTGCATGTTGTATGCCCCAGTGTCCTCATGTTAGTCAAGGCACAGGGACGCAGTGAGCTTATCAGGGTAGCTGGGGTCGCAGGTTGCCCTATATATGCATCGAGCCATGCGACAACATGTTGTTGACGGGTCTGATGAATTAACTATGAGTCTACAGTACACAACGGTATAGGATACACAGTGTGTTGACGTGCTCGTTAAAACATACATAAAAGTATTGATTTTACGTCCTGATATTGCTATATGTAGAGGTGGAGTGAAATGGGGTTTAACGTCGCATTCAGGATTATTACGGGTATGTAGCGATGTGCATGTACTATGTGTGGCTGTTTGAACTAGTCCGGCCTAATGCCGGTTTTATAGTGCTAGCCAACTGAGATACCATGTGGCAGTTTAACATGCGCACCCTACGAAGGCACCTTAAGCTGACTCGGGCACGGCCAATCATTCATATGGAAAAGGTTCATGCAACTTATAATAGTGGATGTAAAAGTGTCAGCAAGCACGGCGCATAGAAGCCTTCCCCTACTCGTCTTATCCCCTTGATGCCGAGTGCAACAAGTATCATCTCTCAACATCTCTCAAGGTCCTTTGGTATGACGCTACCAGGGCATCGAACACCGACATTCCGCTCAACGGGCAGACGCTGTATCCACTAGACCCCGGAGACAGTCCGCTGTTCGGGCAGTGAGTGAGTTTGGTTTTACGCCGCTTTAAGTAATATTACAGCACTATCACGGCGGGGGACACCAGAAATGAGCTTCACACATTGTACCCATGTCGGGAATCGAACCCGGGTCTTCGGCGTGACGAGCGAACGCTTTAACCACTAGGCTACCCGACCGCCCCCTCCTCGGGCAGACGCTGTATCCACTAGGCCACGGAGACAGTCCGCTCAACAGGCAGACGCTCTATCCACTAGACCAGGGGGCGGCTATTTATATGTGAGGTTGTTACATGAACAAGATCTACAGTTCGTTTGTTTCATGCCGTTGTCTCCACACTATATTGACAAATGAACGTGTGAACGACGAAAGGACTTCAGATGTCATTTGTTTATTTATTTGTTGTTTTACGCAGCAAGCCTCAATATTCGAACCATACCCCCAGCGGCCTGTCAATAACCGAATCTGGTCAGACAAACCAGTGGTTGATAGCATGAACAACAGCCGAGGGTGTCGGAGTACGACGACAGGCAATCATCCAAGTCACCGATCGCGTGTCTGCTTCTCCCGACAAGCATAGCAGTGCTTGGACTTTGTCGACAGGACGTCAGACTGATCAATGTCCAGTCTCAATATACTTGGTTGGAAATGAAAGGTATAATGTGTGATGTTAGCACTGCTCCAGTCAGAGTGAATTTTCAGAAATATTTATTATCCTTGTAGCATTAGTGATAGAAAAATACAGCTGTAATTTCGTACTTCGTGTTATCTCTTACTGTGAGCTTTGATTTGCAGCCCTGTGGAAAGAGAATAGTCCACTAAAAATCTATGTTGGCACAACGGGTCGGTTGTACGGGCTCGGTGACTTGGTTGATTGCATGTCATGGTAATTTGCGTAGGTCGATGCTCCCGATGTCGATCAATGGTTTGTCTGGTCCAACGCGGTCATGTAGCTGGAATGTTGCTGAGTGTGATGCTACACATCAAACAAACTGTCGAAGACGCAAAGGTGGTCGGGTGAGTGTTGTGGTATGCCGTGCACAGCTATGATCAACTCTGTCGTGATCGGGTGAATGTTGTGGTGTGCCGTGTACAGCTATGATCAACTCTATCGTGATCGGGTGAGTGTTGTGGTGTGCCGTGTACAGCTATGATCAACTCCATCGTGACCTATGTTAATAACCGTGTCTGAAACACGCAGACAAGTGTTTGATATCATGAGCAACGTTTCTTGCAGTCTGGTTACGATGCAAGTCACACAATGAGGTGAGGTGAAATGGGGTTAAACGTCGCGTCCAAGATTATTGCACTTATATAGCGACGTGTGTGTGTGTGGCTGCTTGTACTAGTCCGGACTGATGCCGATTTATAGTGCTAGCTCACTGAGATACCATGTCGCAGTTTAACATGAATACCCCACTCAGACACAGTATACTGACTACGAGCCGACCAGTCCTTGTTTTAGCCCCTTAATGCCGAGCGCCAGACAGGGTAGTTACAAGTACCTACTTTTAACGTCTTTTGCTATGACGCGGCCGGGGATCGAACTCCGGACATTCCGCACTCCGGGCGGACGCTCTACCACTAGACCACGGAGGCGGTCAGTCACACAATGAGTCCACCTGATCCTCATTTGGATCAGCAACAAACATGGTGAATGGGTAACCTGACTGACTTGCATAAACCTGAACTAGGTGCAAACCTCTCCTTTCGAGGGTGTATTATAGTGAAGCGAAACAGTGATAAGTTTTGAAATTAGGGCACTCAAATATTACACCAGGAAAGCGTACATGGACAGGCCACAAGGCCACAAACGAGGAGATAGAAAGGGCAAACACTAACTGTTCACGGAAACTGATATTTGATAGTCTTGCCAGGAAGTAGAAACTGTCCTCGTTATACAGAGAAAAACTGTTCCTCGTGTTACTCCGACAATTGTGCAATTCGTCGCAAGTATGTCATGACGTTGCGTTCATTTCAATTGGATCGCACATTCTGGACGTTTTTTCTTTCAATTTATAAACCCACCTCCAACTTGCAATATATCTGAAATAATTTGTTATCAAAGCTAGGATGAAAGGAATGCACTATTTAACCTTAGAGAAGAACATAGTGTCTTACTGTCTAACTAGTGCACAGTGAGGTCATTCAGCTGGTGTCTGATGCCCATAACGCATATGTACTATTAAAGTGTTCGATAACTTTACTTTCCCGAGAGTAGTGAAAAGTCACAAGGACGAGTACAAAGCCGCCGTTAACTATGCCAGTTGATTAAATATTCGTAGCATTTGAATTGAAAACCTTTAATGACTAATGCCTACCCTTGAAACTCCCACCAATGAAATTGCAACGAGATTGGGTAAATCCTGCAGATACTTGTCTTTATTTATGTTCAGGATGTCCTTGTGGTATCGTGCAAGCTGTACCCTGTACACAGTCCCAATGTTGGATCTCACAGCTACCAACACGGATACACATCTACCAGGACCTATATTATATCGGTATGGCCACATGTCAAAATCAGAGCCACATCATTGAAGATAACATTACAGTAAATCTAAAATTGGTAACCGATATTTCATATTATTAAGAGTATTAAGGAAAGTAAGAAATATTGCCAGACGTCGGCCAAGTCTCTGTATGTCATGTATGTACCTCTGGTGGGTGAGATATCGTTTGGGTTTCTGGGTAGTATAAAGCGAGCGGTCGCTTACCGTTCTCTGACTTGTTAACAAACCCCAGCTGTGATTACAGTGCAGAGCAGCAGAAGAAACGTTTCCCAGACCGCCTATAAATCTAGTTTTACATGCAAAACATGAAGATTGAATAAAATAGTGGATAGAGCGTCCGCCCGGAGAGGTGAAGGTCGGCAAGTCTACACCTAGCCGAGTCATACCAAAATAGGTTAAAAGATGTACTTGTTGTTGCCCTGCCTGGCGCTCGGCATAAAAGGGCTAAAACAATGACTGTTCGGCACGGAGTCAGTATGCTGTGTTTGAGTGGGTTATCCATGTTAAACTGCGGCATGGCATATCAATACGCAAGCACTGTTAAACCACCATAAGTCGTGACTGGTACAAGCCGCCACACACATGCATTTACGTCACTACATTTGCGCCAGTGCCTCAGTGGGAAAACAGGGTTACTGAAGGGGATATGTAAGGTTGCATGGAATTTTGGACTCTTAACCAGTCAAAAATCAACATTAGATGGATATTAATAAGATGTTAATAAATTTTGGGTGATGTAACACTCTTCAGTAATTTATAAAGTCGAGAAGACTTGACATGGATACGAGCAACTGAGTTAGCGGACTTTCCACTACTTGAAGAAACCTAAAGAAGAATAGGATGACGTCACTGTAGGTTTGTAAGCAACATCCGCATTCTAAAATAAGTAAGAGCTGCGACGTGTCGCAAAACAACATCGCAGTCCCATGACTGAATGTCATGAATGACTGAATAACGCAACAACGGTAATGAATCTTATGGTGTCCACTTTATTTGGACTGTATTTATTTCGAGTTGACATTCCTAAAGTGTATTTTATATTATTCTGTTTACACCCAAATTAGTGTAGCAAATCAAAAAATCAGAATGTTAGACCAATACCGGGAAAGGATCTCATTGTCTCCAGTTCACCGTTCAGCTTCTGTGTTGTATACGGCTCATAAACATGGGATTTCTAGCAATAGTAATCATTCAGGTTGTCATAAGCCCTGACGGTAACTTGTGCTCTTTCTGGTAGCTTGGACACTTTCATAAGTGTTTCCACTTGAGATGGATGAACGTTAGTCAGGTAGATCATCTGAATAGAGATAACACATACAACATCAATACTCCTGCTCACAGAAAATGTCATCTTGGGGTTGGGGTGATTTCAAATAAACAATTTGTTTCTGGTATAAGTATTACTGATTATTTCCCCACCTTCACCATGTACTCAGCCCGTCCCCTACCCTAAACCTCTCCCTCCTCCACCACCCTAAACGCTAACCCCAACCTCACACCAGTCCTCATCCTACCATTCACTACCACTCCACCCAAAGCTCACCCTCACATCATCCCCTCTTCCTCACGCTCACCCCAGCCCACGTTCATACCCTCATACTCAACCTCACTTTCACCCTAACCCAAACCTTGTCATCACTCCCGCTCTCACCCCAGCCCACGCTCTTACCCTCATACACACCCTCACTTTCACCCTAACCCAAACCCTGTCATCACTCCCGCTCTCACCCCAGCCCACGCTCTTACCCTCATACTCAACCTCACTTTCACCCTAACCCAAACCCTGTCATCACTCCCGCTCTCACCCCAGCCCACGCTCTTACCCTCATACACACCCTCACTTTCACCCTAACCCAAACCCTGTCATCACTCCCGCTCTCACCCAAAGTCACACGCTTACCCTCACCCCAAATCCTCACCATTATCATTAGCATCACCCCAACCCTCAATCTCACCCCATCCCTCACCCTCACCCCCACCCTCACTCAAAGTGGGTGCATTCTTTGACACAGTACGTTGTTGTAACTAACGAATGGGGCGACACCAGGTGCCTGTTTGACTGTTTGTTTGTTTGTTTGTTGTTTAACGCCGCACTCTGCAATATTCCAGCTATATGACGGCGGGCTGTAAAATAATCGAGTCTGAGCATCATCATGAGCATCGATCCCCGCAATTGGGATCGGTGACAAGCATCAACCAAGTCAGCGAGCCTGACCACCCGATCCCGTTAGTCGCCTTTTACGACAAGCATAGTCGCTTTTTACGGCAAGTATGGGTTGCTGAAGACCTGTTCTACCCCGGAATCTCTGTATGACTGACCTTGACTGGGACGTCGGACAGCACTCTGAAGCAAGCCAGCTTTGCAGTGTTGTTTGCAATCGCATTGTTGATGATGGTGAGGTGGTCCTTCAGGATGTCCAGGTATTCAGTGGTGGTGTACCCTTTGGAATAGAGACGCATGTAGCACCCAACGCTATTTCATAACTTCATAACTTACCTCGCTTGCTCTACAAAGTGACCTCAGTGCGCCGACTATCATACATACAAGCGAAAACAAATAATCACAGAGATTGAGTGAGAATGGTTTAACGCCGGTTGTAGCAATATTGTAGCAATATCACGAGAGGAGGGGGGAGGGGGCATGAATGGACTTCACAAATTGTACTAAGAACAATCATCAAAAATCATAAGAGTGCGTTGAACAATTCCGAATATATCATATGCATATTGTTGTGAATCACATATTAGTGTTGACAAGGTTTATCCTGCCGCACTAACAGACGCAAAGGCATGTCAAGTGGCAGTCAAGTGAATTGTATGGGACATCATTTTGGTCACTGATGCGTTATATTTGGAATTGTCCTTCACATGTCAATCATAACACGTCTAGAAAACCTTAGTAAGGTCTTGAATATCATAAGCCTGATCAAACAATTTTCGACGTTCTTTGAAATCCTCACAGAAAGTTATGCTTGATTTTACCTCAAAAAGTGTTTGCTTTTTAAAAACATTATTGTTCATGTACATCAAAAGTTGGTTAGTAGCAAGTTCTGGTCATTCGTGCCATATAGTATTCTTGATAATATAAAACAGGTGAGGCGGTCATTAGTCTCGTGTATTTCTAGTTCGGGGGTAATCGATGGAAGCTGACTGATTTTGCAAATCCGACCAGAAATTCCGATTCCTATACATATAGAAACAGATCAGCAAAAAGGGGAACACAATTGGTGCCCATGGAAATATTATTGGTTCTTTTTTAAGTCAATGCTGATATATGGGATATACTATGGTCTCAGCGCTATGGCTTTGGCTTTGATCAAAGACCAAGCGGTTGTTAGAGTCGTCAATTTAAACCAAGCAGCTCCACTTTTAAGATGTTTATAACGGTTCAGGGAATGATGCAGAACAGGAGGACAAGTCACGTGATCACAGGAAGCGTAAACAGATACATTTCGCTACAGTTTTGGTTGAGCTGGTTGCTGTTATGGTGGTGATTACCTGTAGTGTAGAAAAGCATGTCTGTAACGTGCAGTGTCCCGTTTCCGAAGTCCCTGGTCAATCCAGTCAGCTCCACATCTAGTTCCTTGGCAAAGTTCTCACAGCCATAGAGCGGTAGAGCCGAGTACTCGTCATCCATACTGTACAGGACATTGGTCAGTGCTGGCCACCGGCAGTCATCTTCCACGTCCACAACTGAAATTATTACATGAAACAAACTCTGTGTGTATGACACATTTGCTAAAATACTAACTAATGTATACATGTTGACGTGTGAATATCTTAACCTACTCCTGCACGTTTAGTGAGCACCTAGTGTAATCACTGGTTCCCGATCCCGACAATCTTCACCGCTATGTAGCACTTTACGCCCGATGGCTTCAGCGGATAATCGAGATTAGTTGTACTCCGATGTTGACGTGGGATATATACACATCCTAAATTAGGCATGTCTCAGTCCAATTTAAGGGGCGGTCGGGTAGCCTAGTGGTTAAAACGTTCACTCGTCACGCTGAAGACCCGGGTTCGATTCCCGACATGAGTACAATGAGTGAAGCCCATTTCTGGTGTCCACCACCGTGATATTGCTGGAATATTGCTAAAAGCGGCGTAAAACCATACTCATTCACTTGACCTCGTCCAGCATTTGCGGGAATCCATATTTGAATTGTTGTTGTGCTTGTGTTTATACTAGGATACAAAACTCACGGTAGTTGTAAACATTATTAACTTGTCCAAATTGATTCAGGTTAGCTTTGTCTTCAAATCTAAGCGTATACCTATTTTTTTACAGCCCACCTTTTATACGAACTTTAATACTCATTGGCTGTCAGAGGTCTGTGGCGGAAGAGGCCGAGTGGACCTGAATGACTTATACTGATATACATGTATATGAATTGGATCATGTAAGGAATCGTGAAAGTGAACATTCTTGTGATAGTGGATTATGTACTTTTTACACAAAAATCGATGTAGGTTTTACGTAAATGACAAGAAATAATCTTACCTGCAAGAATATATGGATTGGCTAGTTCCTGAAAGTAAAACAAAATAATGTGCAGACATAACAGTATACGAGTATAAGATAAAATATTAGCAAGGTTATCATTGAACAAATCAAAATTCATTCTTTCTAAACTATCACTAGCATTGTATTTTAGCAAAACGACACATTGAGAGAGAGAGAGAGAGTTTTCAACCACCCCTCATAGTTCTTAAAACGCCTAGTACAGGATAAAATCCATATTTCGGGACGCAATTACCTTAACAAGAAATAGAACGTCAATGCCAGACACATCTGTGAGGAGGTTCTTGATGGCAAAAACCTCCTGCGCTTGGTTACTGCCCGCTGATGGTCGCAGTCGGATTTTCAGGAGGTACAACTTCTCATCCATGTCGGCGGCCACGGACGCCATCAGTAGGGTAGGTAACAGCCAGATCATGGCTTTGAAGTTCTCCATTCTCATGGTAATCTGCTTTGATGGCCAACCTGAAAGTATTCCGATCGTTCTGAAAGTTGAATTGACGGTGTACAATATTCAAAGATGAGAGAGAGGATTATCCCTGCATCATCGTCACATGAGGTCTTACCTTATATCTCACAAATTCCCCTATGTCTGGTACTGAATTATGAGCGCGATATTATATAGTGATATAAAAACTGTTTATTCATATATTTATTAATAATAACATGCTTGAAGCAGGATCAGATTTGTATACTTTCCAATAATGTTTGTGTGACAACGTGGATATGCATGAAGGATCAAAATAAGTGTCTGTATTTGAAATGTCATCATGCCCTAAAACTTTCTGGTTTTGCACAATACGTTCGTATTTTAATTAGACGTACTTTAATTAGCAAAACAACAGGTCTTATAAAAACAAATAACATCCGATGTATAACAATGGCGAAATGACAATTCTCTGAACACATTAATCTGTGAAATAATTTACCAATCTTAAAGAATCCGAATACCATTGTATTTTGCTGCATGCAAGCTACACAAATACTAGTATTTCATTCAGCTTGGATGCTGAAATACAATTTGATCATTGTTTTTTTCCGAGCGTTGTTGGTTTGGTAATGAGTTGTCACAGCCAATATAAAAACAACAACAACATATGAAGCCTTGTTTGGGAGGAATATTAAGGTTATGGGTCATAAATAGGATAGTTATTGAAAATTGTAACTTTTTATAGAATACAAAACAAGGAGGTATGAGAGAGTAGGAGCTTAAGGAACATTCCAACTCTTCGACGACGGGACACCAGACGTGGGCTTCAGGCGATATTTGGGTTATTTGGGGAACAAACTATTCTCTTTAATAAACTCCTAGCTTATAATTCGTCCCACCCAACCTCTGCTGGGGACTTAAGGATGGGGGGGGGGGGGGGGGGGGGGGGGGGGGGGGGTGCGGTCGGGTAGCCTAGTGGTTAAAGCGTTCGCATGTCACGCCGAAGACCTGGGTTCGATTCCCGACATGGGTACAATGTGTGAAGCCCATTTCTGGAGTCCCCCGCCGTGATATTGCTGGAATATTGCTAAAAGAGGCGTAAAACCATACTCACTCACTCACTTAAGGATGGGGTGGCCAGGACTGGTGACCCCACGGCGTGAATATCAAGGCTATCATAATATCAATCACTGGATTGTTGGATCCAGAACGCATGGCTCATTATTTTTTTTGTCATCAACCTTGTGTCTAGATACTCCGTCGATGACTGGCTGTTGTCACGCAGATGTATCAGAGTTGACCGTGTTAAAAAAACTCGTGTTTTGTCTGTTTGTTAGTTGTTTAAGGCCTCACTCAGCTCCAGCTATGACGGCGGTCTGTAAAGACAATGGGCCAGACAATCCAGTGATTGATATCAAGAGTATCGATGACCAAAGAACTGAAACAACTTCAACTACAAAGTTTCCTATCCGCTCCTACGACATCACTTCAAGCCTACTGACGCCATTTCTGATTTGTTAAAACTGCATGTTCTAAATGTAACCCCAAAACTCTTATGTCTCTAGTTACTTCAAAACGGAAGTACACATATCCGGCAGATTGGAAAACACATGTTCTTAAAAATACGGATTTAAAATAGAAAGATCAATTCCTCCAGCTAAACTAGAAAAATCTGGGAACTTCCTGTTTAACGACTTTGACCTCAATTTCAGGCAATCGTATGCTTAATAATTGTAAATTTTGTACCAATCCAGGGTGTTGATTCAGTTGACAAAGAAGCAGAAACAACAATAAGGGTTACCTTGGCCTTCAAATGTCTCTCAACACCTTTCCACTTGCATTAGCATCGTCACACCATGTTCGTGGTGTTCCTTTACGGCTTTTTAGATGAATTGGTCTTCAGCAAACTATGCTTGTCGTAAGAGGCGGCTATGCTTGCCGTAAGAGGCGACTATGCTTGCCGTAAGAGGCGACTATGCTTGCCGTAAGAGGCGACTATGCTTGCCGTAAGAGGCGACTATGCTTGTCGTAAGAGGCGACTATGCTTGCCGTAAGAGGCGACTATGCTTGCCGTAAGAGGCGACTATGCTTGTCGTAAGAGGCGACTATGCTTGCCGTAAGAGGCGACTATGCTTGTCGTAAGAGGCGACTATGCTTGCCGTAAGAGGCGACTATGCTTGCCGTAAGAGGCGACTATGCTTGTCGTAAGAGGCGACTATGCTTGCCGTAAGAGGCGACTATGCTTGTCGTAAGAGGCGACTATGCTTGCCGTAAGAGGCGACTATGCTTGTCGTAAGAGGCGGCTATGCTTGTCGTAAGAGGCGACTATGCTTGTCGTAAGAGGCGACTATGCTTGTCGTAAGAGGCGATTATGCTTGCCGTAAGAGGCGACTATGCTTGTCGTAAGAGGCGACTATGCTTGCCGTAAGAGGCGACTATGCTTGTCGTAAGAGGCGACTATGCTTGACGTAAGAGGCGACTATGATTGCCGCAAGAGGCGACTATTCTTGACGTAAGAGGCGACTATGCTTGTCGTAAGAGGCGACTATGCTTGCCGTAAGAGGCGACTATGCTTGTCGTAAGAGGCGACTAACGGGATCGGGGGATCGGGCTCGCTGACTTGGTTAATGCATGTCATCGTATTCCAATTACGTGGATCGATGCTCATGATGTCAATCACTGGATTGTCTGGTCCAGACTCGATTTTTTACAGACCGTCATATAGCTAGAATATCGCTCATTTAAACAACAAACAAACAAAAAAACACATACAGTCGACCTACAGGATGCCCAGAGAATATAATTTGATTCGACTCTTGTGTGCAGTAATGTCATATGTATGTAAAGACAAAATAAACGAACTGCTAACATTAATAAGGAAGAAAATGTATGGATGTCAACTTCTTTATAATGAGGAACAAAACTTTTCGGAGTATATGCTTACTCCTTCATCAGGTGCTTACTCCTTCATCAGGTGATGAACACAGCGTTTCTGGTCAGGTGTAGAAACCAATAACGACTCAATTACACACATAATATTTCCATTTCAGTCGTTGTGTGAGCATACGGTTCAGATAAAGTTCATTCTTTGATAAACATTTTTTGGAAATACTCTCTGTAAATACGGTACGAGTAGTTACGTGATTCAGAAACAGCATATCACAATCGAGTGCATAAATAGGAAAACCAGTCGAGCGAACATCGAACACTCAGTAGAAGAGCGATGTAAAAGTAAATTATATCCGTGGAAATAAGGCCCCCGGGCTCTCTTTGCTGTGTCAACGTTCTTAATGGATCTGTTTATCCTCACTCACTCACTCACTCACTCACTCACTCACACACACACACTCACTCACTCACTCACTCACTCACTCACTCACTCACTCACTCACTCAACTCACTCACTCACACACTCACTCACTCACTCACTCACTCACTCACTCACTCACCCACTCTCTCTCTCACACACGCATACTTTGTGTTAATTTCCACAGAATCTTTGGGAGGGTCCGTATATGTCATTTAATGTCCTCCTTTCTGTCAGGAAAATAGCTTTCATAACATCTGAAATAATCATCAATAGTTTTTTCATAGATAAACCTCCCGCCTAAGGATGGCCAAACTCCCTTGCATCCACCCATTGGTAAGCCGACGACCATGCATGTGTACGGGTAGAAACGGCTTAGCGTGATGGACATCAAGGTGTAAACTTTTATAAAATTTTGAGACGGAAAACACCAGTATGTAGTTTGCCCGACTGACCATTCACATAACTGTCTGGGGCAGCTATTTAATAAATTCTACACACTGTGCACGGAAGTTATGTATTCTATTGTTTCCAGGACCGTAAGACTATATTTACAACACGTGTGTTTGTGTATAACGCCACACTATTCCATAAGTCTGTAAGTAATCAAGTCTGGACCAGACAATCCAGTGATCAAAATCACGAGCATCTGGGAAAAGAAGACATGACTCGACCAGGTCAGTGAGCCTGACCATCCCATCCCGTTAGGTGCCTCTTACCACAAGCATAGGTTGCTGAAGGCCAGACTTACGCTATGAAATTTAATAATGAATTCTCATTAGTGTGTCTTGTTGTACTTCAAGAAAATATAAAACTCTATTCTTTTCTATTATTATTAGTTTTTATTATTAATTATTTTCATTAAATCTGGATTCAAACCTTAATTTCAAGATTAAATATCTTTAAACAGTATAACATCCAGGAATCAACAAGGTGCCCGTTCTAGCTTCCATCAACAACTGACACAGTGGAGCATTAAATCTTGTGACCTAATTACTGACATGAATGAATGGATAAACCAGATTCCCACTGTCGTCTTTATTTAAACTCCAGCAAAAGACATCAGTTTGATATCTAATTGAAAAACGCATCAGTTCACTACACGATTGCAGTTCCACTAATATCATGGCGGGGAAGACTAGTAATAGGTTATTCAGATTGTACCCATGCGGGAAATCAAACCCAGGGTTTCGGCGTGTGTGAGGGCCGGTACGAGAGTGAGTGCGTATATCGGTATCATGTAACATGTATCTAAGTATCACGTAACCTATATGTATTGGGATAATGATACCTGTATATCATTATTCTTTACTCCCTGTGACTTAATGCGTGGTGACCTACCCGGACCGTACATCTGACAGGCCTCTGAAACACCCGACGTGTGCTTCACTGTCCGCTATCAGCGTGTTGGTGATCGCCAGGTGACTCTTCATCATGGCAATGTACTCTGTCGTAGTCTTCCCTAAAATATGTGACAGTTTTACACAAAGTTGGTGTTAAAACATGCACGTTCCGAATTGGGTAAGCTGGAAGGCACGTAAGTTCTTTCAACTCTGAATTACTTTATACTACAGCTTCTAAAATTCCACCTAAAATTATTATTTTCCTGTTAATCAGTTTCCCAAATAAGGTATGTTTAAGAATACTAACGCCAATCCTCATGTAAACATGGTCAGAATATTATATTATTTCATGACTTGTATGTATGTCAGAAAGAGATATCTATTAAAGTTGTGGTTTATTCGATGACGGATCAACAGTGATAGGACAGCATTACAGATGCAAACACATTATTACATCTTTAACACGCATGCATCAAATCAAGTCTTCGAGGCTGATCACCCGATTCCGTGAGTCGCCTCTTACT